TGAAAGTACTCCAAAAATATTACGTCACGAGACTCTATAAGCTTTCCTGTACTAGGATTGTACAAACGGTAAGCAGCAGCCGTATCTGAGTACCCTACAAAAATGTACTCAATTCCCTTTGGTTGGAATTTACGGAAATGCTTCTTGTCTAAAGCAATCGCCTTGACTCCGAATATCTTGAGATGAGATACACTCGGTTTCCGTCCGAACCAAGCTTCGAATGGTGTCATATTCCTCAGCGATGATGACTCCGACCTGTTCCGCAAGTAAGCTGCAGCAGCTATGGCTTCCGCCCAAAATGCTTCGTCCAAATTAGCGTACTGCAACATGCTCCTGGCCATCTCAACCAGTGTCCTGTTTGCTCTTTCCGCCACACCGTTTTGTTGAGGTGTATACGGTACAGTAAGCTCTCTCTTTATTCCATTGCTTACCAGGAACTGCGTAAATACTCCGCTCAAGTACTCACGTCCATTATCGCTTCTCAGGATTTTAAGCTTCTCTCCAGTTTGTTTCTCCACCAAGGCTTTGAACTCCTTGAACTTTTCGAAAACCTCATCACGCGTTTTCAGGAAACAAACATGCATATATCGCGATTTATCATCTATAAATGTCACGAAATACCGAGATCCACCGTTTGATGTCTTGCTCATCGGCCCGCAAATGTCTGTATGTACACGTTGCAAAATATTATTCGCCCGATTCTCTGCGGCCTTTGGAAACGACTTTACAGTGATTTTACACTTCGCACACGTTTCGCAAACATGATCTCGCATGTCACACTGATTTGCCTTTAGACCACGCACAATGTTGTTTTTTATCATTTTTATTAGGCTTCCAAAGTTTAAATGTCCAAATCTGTGATGCCACTTAACTATTTCTGAGCCTTTCGCTTCTGCCGCAAAACATACACTCTTGTTTGTTTCTATTAAAAACAAATCATTTTTCTTTTCGGCACTCAAAACAACATGTCCCTTTTTGTTTATTATCTGCGCACTATTTCCAGAAAACTCTGCACGAAATCCGTTTTCAACCGCTCTCGATACGGATAAAAAATTACATTGCAAGTCTTTTACATAAAGTACATCCACTAAATCGATCGTACTTTTCTTCCACTGTATGCGCACTTTTCCAAGGCCTTCCGCCATGATGCTATTACTACCGGCCAACATTATTTTCTCTCGGTGTTCCTTTATGTCTGTAAAACTGGAACGATCGCAGCACAAATGCGTCGTGGCGCCACTGTCTAAACACCAAACACTCTCTTTACGCTCTACGAACTTCGGCCCGTACGAGAAAACTGAATAGTTGCGACTATTCTCCTTCTTTTCTCCTTCTTTCTTTTCGTCCTTTCCTTTTTCACGACAGTTAACCGCGATATGCCCTTGACGACCGCATATCCAACACGCTCTCTTGTTTTTGTTTTTGTTCTTCCATTCGGTTTTAACCGCACTCTTTTCATTTCGCGACGCGAACATTCTTGTTTCTTTCTCGCGAACCGTTTCGTCGTTCTTCCGTCTCTCTCCTTCTTCCAGCAATTTTATTTTAAGGAGATGCAACGACGGCAATCTGTCGCGCGTCTCGACAGCAACAACAAAATTTTCAAGACCATCACTTAGGCCAGACAGCAACAAAATAACCGTTACTTCTTCGGGTAGCGTCACCCCGACTTCGTTAAGTTTTTCTAGAATGTCCGAAAACTTATTTATATGCGCTCCGACATTGTCATCTTCTGCCATTTTCATACGCAGCAATTGTCGAAGCAGAAAAACACGCCTCGCAGGCCCTGTTGGCCTATGTATTGCTAGAAGCTTCTCCCAGGCTTCTGCAGAACTAACACAATGTTTCACATGGTTTATCTGAGACGGTTTTATGTGCAACATAATGCTCGCAAGAGCTTTCTCGTCTTTCACATCAAATGCAGACTTCACTTCTTCACTATCATGTTCGTTTTTTACCAAACGACGGCAAACCACCGCCCACAAATCTGCGTATACTAAAACGCTTTTCATTTGCACAGCCCACGCGCTGTAATTCTCATCGTCAAGTCTTTCGATCGAATTCATACTTGGATTCATTTTCCCGTGTTTAGTCGCGAAGCCACTAACAGCCTTAAGTCCAGAACTTTCCTCGCAGGGACAAGATCACTTTTTACCGCAACTATAACACACACACACACAACCGCAACCACAGTTTTTTCGCGCGAAGCTATTTACTCGGCCTTAAGTCCAGAACATTCCTCGCAGGGACAAGTTCACTTATTTACCGCGATTAGTAAATACGACCGCTAAAAACTCTTTGTATTCTTTTCACGCAATGAAGGCACTCTGGGCCCATAACCTATTAGAAATGTTTTAATGCTTTATTTACGAGGTTTTAATAATACAAAATTACAGAGACGCGTCTACACGTTGCGGAATTTCTGAATAGACTCAACTACGATAGTATCGATACTCAACGATATGGAGTTGCTCGCAGGCAACTATCAGAATCAGCTGACAGACGGCGTTGCCATATACTTCTATATTTCTAACAATTTTTTTATTTATTATTTATAATTTGATTCGCTTTTGCATTTAATTAAATTCCTACCTACTGTCTTCTTTCTAATTATATAACCAAAATAAAAAAAATAAAGAATAAAAGGATTTTTTTATACAAGTAGAACTAATTATTTTTATTTCTTTCACTGTACTTCGAGCCTCCTTTCTCATTTCTTCTCGCTCATATTCACAATCTAAATTGATTTATATTATTAAGTTGGTAAATAAAAAAATAAAAATAATTAAGGAAATGAATATAGTCGAAAATTAATTAATCTAATATTGTGCAATTTTCATTATTTCTTATTGTTATTATTTAAGATGCGGCAAACAACAAGATAAATCAAATTATTTCTATTTAATTAATTAAATTATTATTATTATTATTATTTGTTGTTGCTGTTGACTCAGGCACCGAATTAGGTCATTTTTACTTGTTGTTGTTGTACCAAAACTAAGGGCACATGGTCATTAGTTGTTGTTGCCTGAATTTAGGTTATTTTCACTTGTTGTTGTTGTACACAAAAATGGTCACATGGGGTCCCTATTGGTTATTGTTATGCAAAGCGGGGCTTGAAGTTATTTTCACTTGTTGTTGTTGTTCAAAGCTGGAGGTTAGGGTCTTTCCCTTTTTGTTGTTGCTGGCCAATGGGGCTCCGCTGGCCAATGGAAAAATTGGGACCTCGATGGCCAAACTCAATCTTTTGGCTCGGTCTTCGATCCGTGGAAGCCAAATGCAGACCTCGGACTCTGCTGGCCGCTCTGCCGCTAGGCCCAGTTGGCCGTAGTACTGCCGGGGCTGCTCCTCGAGGCAAGTCGATCCTCAATTAGGCACAAAGTGCCAGAAACTAATAAATTAATTTTTATTAGTTTTCTGGGTTGAAATAATATCCAGTACATACCTTGAGTCTGGCACACTCAAACACTATAGATTGGCGGACAGGTGGAGGATTCATTTTTATTTACCAATTCCACGTCTGTCCGGTTTAAGATCTTAGAGGAAAAGGAAATTGGCAGCGCAAAGTTAGCTGCACTTACGCTAAGCCCAGGCTTGTATTTTGGGCCAGTATGAAATAAAGTATGCGATATAAATTTAACTATGGTATGGCAACTCCGCCCATAGGTGGCGCTGTTGATCATACTAGCCGATAGGGCGCCTAGTTTGAATTCAGCCGACAGATGGCTCTGTGGCTAGTGACAAGCGCTACCACAAGCGTTGCGTTTCAGTGTCCGATAGCGGGACGTTTTCGGGCATTTGCACGGGTCCCAGTATTCGTCCGTTTCAGTATCCGTTTTCGGGCCAGGTTTCGACAATTAGGCAAACCTATTGCGGTATGTCCGCTATCTGACCGCCCACTGTACGTTTCAGTGTCCGTTAAGGGGGTTTCCTGAATCAGGAGGCCAAAAATTAGTTGTTTTTCGCGATTTTTTTTTGAAGGTAAAGAAACGACTAAGCTTCTTGCAATTTTTGGTATATTTTTATACATATTTAAAGTGCTTAAATAAATTAAAAAAAAAAAAATATTTCAAAATGGCGGACTTATAAGTAGTTCACTGAAGCGCCTCGTCACAGCAGTCCCTAATTGGCGGGAAATGTGCAGCTCGTAATTCTTGTCTGAAACAAAAAATTCAAAAAAATTTTCCATTTTTATAAGTGCATTTTCTACATGAACTAAGAAAAACTGGAGAAAATCGTGAAATCGGAACTTTTGTTCAGGTTTAAAAACAAAAATTCATTTTTCGGGATAAAATATTAACTTTAAGGGGGTCTTCTCATTCAAAAGCCCTTTTTTGGACCCTTTTTAAAAAAATTCTTATTTGAAAACGCAAAGAATAATTGAAAACTTTTTTTATTTATTGTATTCAGAAATGTGCAAAGTAACTAAAAAAGTTGTTCTGGCCTCGATACGAGGGTTTTTCAAAGAGTAATGAGACTTCAAACTTGGTGGTCGAAAAAAAGGTGTCGTCCTGGCGGCCACGATTCAGGGTCTCCAGAGCGTCCGAAATGAAAAATAAATACGGGTTTATAATCAGAATAGATGTCATTTTCGGAATTTTAACCAAAGCATGGAAGGGGATTAGCATAAAGCTAGTCCCCGCCAAGGATATCCCAATGAGACCCAGAGCTCGCATCTGGTTGCCCAAGGGGCTGTCTAGCCATGAAAGGGTGCTCAAGACTCTGCGAGCGATGAATAAGGGAGTCGACATGGAGGACTGGGCCATTCTCAGAGCTCAGCGAGAAATGAAGTCCAGCCAGCCATATCTGTTCCTAATTAACCAGCGCTGCCTAGAACAGCTGAAGGCAGCAGACAACAAGGTCCGGTACGGCATCAGGAAAGCCAAGGTGAAGGTCTTCCTAGACGAACCGGACGATATTCTGGAAGATGAAGTCGAGGACGCCAACAAGCTGCTGGACGATTTGGCGATCGACGACAGCTCTCCCAACGCCACCCCAATCTAATGCCGACGGTCGTTCAGATAAACCTGAAGCGCAGCTCCCACGCTTCAGCTAATCTGGGGGTCCTTCTCCGGGAGAAGGACATCGACATCGGCCTTATACAAGAGCCATGGACTAGAGACGGACGAATCTCTGGCATGGCCATAAAGGGATACACAACACTATACACAAACTCGACAGGTAGGCCGAGGGCGGGTATAATCGTTAAAAACAATCTTAATGCTCTTCTTTACCCCAACCTCAGCAACTTAGATCTAGCAGTGGCAAGATTCAAGGCGGCGGATGGGACAGCCATACTAATAGCCTCCGGATACATGGCCCACGACGAACCTGCACCACCTGAAGCGTTTAATAGGGTGATGCAGTGGGCCGAGGAGACTAAAACGACGCTCATCCTCGGGTGCGATGCCAACGCAAGGCACACACTGTGGGGAAGTAAGGAAACAAACGAAAGGGGTGAGTCTCTCTTCGATAGTATTATATGTCGTGACGTCACTATTTGTAACAAGGGAAACACGCCCACCTTCATCTTTCCAAGTACGGAAGGATTTCAGGGCTGGGAAGAAGTCCTAGACATAACCCTCCAAATGGAGCATAGCGACTATAAGGTAAGAAACTGGAGAGTCTCTACACAAGACCCGTTTTCAGACCACAGATACATATTCTTTGAACTCGTGATGCCGGTATGCGAAACGGCGCCGAAGCGAAACCCTCGAAACACTGACTGGGACAAATACGGAAAGATTGTACAGTCAAAGGTCAAAGACAGAAGGATCAAGACCCGATCCACCCCGGAGAGAATAGATAAGGAAGTCGAGGACTTCACAAATATTCTGAACAAAGCCTACAAAGAGTCATGCAGACTAACATACTCTAAGAAGACATACCCACCATGGTGGAACAAAGAGCTATGCGAGCTCAGAAAGAAAGTTCGAAAAGCCTTCAACACAAGTTACGGAACCAAAGACCAAAAAGGCAATCTACGTAGCCAAGAAGGAATCTTGGAGCAATTACTGTGAATCGCTTGAAGGAGTCAAAGACACGGCGAGGCTAAGTAAAATCCTATCGAGAGGACACACAAGCCCCACGCTCATAAACAAACCCGATGGGACAGGAAGTACGTTGGCTGAAGAGTCACTGAAAATCCTGCTGAATACGCATTTCCCAGGAAACTAAAAAGAAGAACCTAGAATAATGGAAAGCCAGGGGGCGGACCAGCAGTTACAAATAGAAGAGATCATCACCATGGAAAGAATCCATTGGGCGATAGATTCCTTCGACAAATACAAAAGTCCGGGTCCGGACGGAATCATACCAGCAATGCTACAGACAACAAAAGCAAGCACAGGAAAATGGCTGCAAGCATCTTCCAGGCATGCATTAAAACAGCACACATACCACTTCAATGGAAGAAAGCGAGGGTAGTCTTCATACCAAAACCAGGAAGAAGGGGACACATCCAAGCCAAGGATTATAGGCCGATAAGCCTTACCTCTTTTCTAATGAAAACACTTGAGGATCATTGATATCCACATCAGAGAAAGAACGGAGAAAAACCTTTCCAATGCGCAACATGCGTACAGGAAAGGCCGATCCACGGAAACAGCATTACACGAGGTAGTTCGATACATAGAAAAGGCTTTACTTTTCAAAAACTACGCCATGGCCACCTTCCTGGACATAGAAGGAGCCTTTAATAACGTCAATGCGGATTTCATCCTGAGTTCCCTCAACGGTATAGGAGTAGAAGGAGGCATCAGGGCATGGATTGGCGCAATGCTGACGAGCAGGAGGATAACAGCCGAACTGAGTGGCACTCATCACACATGATTAGTGAAGAGGGGCACACCTCAGGGGCAGTCCTGTCCCCACTGCTCTGGCTGATAAACATGGACGACGTACTAAGAACACTAAATAGCGAAGGAGTAAAAGTGGTAGCATACGCAGACGACGTAGTCCTACTCATCCCAGGACCATTCCCCGACGTCATCAGCGAACTAATGACAAGGGCACTCACTAAACTCAATGCATGAGCAAAAGCCTGCGGATTGGGCATAAATCCAAGTATAACGGAACTAATGCTCTTCACCAGGAGAACTAAGGTCCCAAGATTCACAAAGCCAAAGATAGATGGCATAGAACTAGAGATATCACAGCAGGCAAAGTATCTGGGAGTGATACTAGATGCAAAACTCTCATTGAAACAAAACATCAACGAGAGAGTCAAGAAAGCAAGCATAGCATTCAATTCCTGCAGGAAGATGTTCGGAAAGAACTGGGGCATCCACCCCAAGATAATAATACGGCTTTACACAGCGGTGGTAAGACCCATAATCACATACGGAGCACTAGTATGGTGGCCAGCATTAACTAGGGCATACAACGTCCAGAAACTAACAAGGATACAGAGATCGGCATGCGCAGGAGCCACGGGAGGACTGAGATCATGCCCCGCGGCGGCGCTGAACGCCATCCTGAACATAATACCGATAGAGCATTTCATCAGGAACACTGCAGCACAAGGTGCGGTACGACTTAAGGCTAGTCAAAGCTGGAAAGACTACCACACCGGGCACTGCAGGATTCTGAACGAGATAAACTATCGGAGGACAGTAGACACACACTACACTACATGACAACCGAACTGCGATTCGGTAACACATACACCACTATATACCCTACAAGGGAAGACTGGAAGAGAGGGAGAGTAACCGAAGCGGATGAAGTATCACTCTACACCGACGGCTTAAAGATGAGCGGCGGAGTAGGGGCCGGAATCTACCGAAAGCTGGAAGGTGGAGGAATACTTCCACCTCCCAGAGTCAGCGACGGTTTTCCAGGCGGAGGTTCTCGCGATACTGAAAGCTGCCGAACTTTCGCTAGACCAAGGCCTCCGGAATACCAAGGTGAGGATATACTCAGATAGCCAGGCGGCGATCAAATCCCTCGCACAAGCAGGGACGACTTCAAAACTAGTGGCCAAATGTAAAGGGGCACTAAACAGACTAGCAGAAGACAACAGGGTACAAATAGCCTGGGTACCCGGACACAATGACATAGACGGAAACGAGAAAGCAGACGAGCAGGCCAGAAAAGGGTCAGAAGAACACTCAGCAACAACAAACATCCAGATCTCCCTGAACTCAGTCCAGACGGAAATTCATGACCATTTCAAACAATTAGCCAGCAAGGAATGGTCGACGAAAGTAGAGCACAGAAGATCGAAACTATGCTGGCCAGAATTCAATAGGAAGCGAACCGCAGAGCTGATCTCCAAGAGCAAAAAGGACATCAGGAGGATAGCGGCAACCATCACCGGCCACTGGCCAATAGGCACGCAAACCTGTAAAATGAGTCTACCCTACAACCCACAATGCAGAAGCTGCAAGGAACCAAGCGAGCAGGAGACACCAGAGCATCTGCTGTGCCACTGCCCGGCACTCAACAAACAAAGAGCCCGACACTTCGGAGCACACCAGCTCGAGTTGGAAGGCAGCCAGTAGCGGCCATCCTAGCTTACCTGAATGACACCGGCTGGTGCTAAGTAGGGCGCAGACAACAACAAATCGAGGGTGTGGAACAAAACGGAGATCAGCTCTAATTGGAGGCGGCCAGGGCTGCCTCACCACTTATACCTACCTACCATACCCGCGAGCAATGAGCCTAGCAGAATATTAACTAGGGAACCTCCCCAACGCCCGACTAACACTGAGCCGGAAAATTATCACGTGCTCTGCGAAATAGGACTCCCCGACCGTCCGTTCGTTTTCTCATCTCCCTGATCCTTCTCGGATATGTACGTTATATCCCTGTAGTACTGTAGGTGGCGATTGGCATTGCGTAGTTGCTTACTTCGTCGGTTACTATATGGGTACTTACTATACTGACCCTACGGTAAACGAGCTGCGAACCAGCTACTAGCTGGATTCTAAAAATTTGGTGAGAGCAGCAAATCTATTTTTAGCTCAGAGAGAGAGAGATAAAGGGATACATCTATTTTTGCTCTTACCTTCAAATTGTATGTATTCGGGTACCCGACATTAGCATTTGATTTGACTCAGTGGCCCAGTTGGTAAGCAGACGGTCTGTGATTTCTAAGACATGCGTTCGAATCCCGACCGGGAACAAGGAAAAGTAAGTTTAAGTGGCTTTTAATAAGATTTATACATTAATATAAGTAATTTAATAACCGAGCTAAGCTCGAAATCATGACCACTTGAGATTGACTTTGGGCACATTATCCCGGATTTTTTTTTCTGTGTACTTACATTACCGACCATTCCATGGGGTCCCATGTAAGTACTTACATTACCGACCATTCCATGGAGCACTATTTCACTAGTTCCTGGGTAAACGACACGGTGGCGATTGACCCTATTTGCGGACATTTCATACAAAAGCGGAAATGAAAGATCGCATTGCTTGGGCCCGATGGGTAAGTAGGGGTGGTCTGCTGGTAAGCACTTATTTCACCAGCTACGAACCAGCGCGCAGTACTACAGGGATGCTACACGCTCGCGTTAAAAATCTTGTCGCCAGCGAAACTTCTAGAAATCGGTGATCGGTTCTTCTCCTTCCTTCTTTTGTCGCGTGCCTGTATCTTGTTATTTGCCAATGAGCGAGAGGGAAATACTAAATGGAGGGAGAGGAGTTATTCTTGTATCATCTCTTCGTCGCCTCGTTGTCATTGTTGTTGCTCAACTCTTTTGGTTTGAGGAATTGATACCGTCGCGTCTCTTTTCTTTTTGATCGGCGAGTTGTGCGGACTCGAGAGCCGTTTTTTACAAAACGCACTTGTTTAAAACGGTAAGTGTTAAATTATAATTTATTAATATGTACTAATCTGCTAATATCTGATCTGATTTCCGTGGTAAAGTGGCGCGCCATGCTCCTGTCGTGGGACGGAGTCGAAACTGTGCATTAGAGGGATGCGCAAACTACGTCCGGCAGAGGTATATTTTTCATATAGTTTTAATAAATATTTACTTATGTATATCAATTTATATTTTTACAGACGCTTTTAGGAACAAATCTTCGTTGGCCGACGCCGACTTTGACAGAATAACACAAAAGTACTTTCCATATGCGCAGGATCGTGGATCCAATAATAAAAAAATTAAAACTACATTTATAAATATAAAAATATATATATATAATTATAAAAAATATAAACATTCATAAGTATTAGTATTATGTAAGAAAAAACCTGATGCTGATTGTTCAAACATGAACACGGTTTTAGATAAGAAGCATCTGTTAGCGATAAAGTCCCAGCAGCAGAGCACGGCCTAGCACCATATCTATCTATTAATACAACCGCCACTTGAGCCTATGTAACAAGTATCCCGAAATATGACCTCCTGCGAGCGGTCTGGGTTTGTTTAAGATATGTTCTTTCGGGGTGACTGTTTGCATCCTTATCGTATATTTCTCACGATCGGGAACTGTCCGATGCGTGGGTCTAGAACTAAGATCTACAATGTACATTCTCATGTTAGCTATATAAGCTAGGGTTTGAATGGAATAAAATCAGTTTCTTACAAAAACTCAACACATGAAGACTTCTAATTTATTTGGGGTTTTCATTTTGGTCCTTCGACCGCTCTGC